GACACAAAGTGAATACATGCTGTTGGAAAAATGCACCCATAGACTTGCTTGAAGCAGGTTGCCACAAATCTTTGTTTAAAAAAAAGTAATATATGTGAAGTGCAATAAAGCAAAGCACAATAAAATGAAGTATGCCTTTCCTTATGATAGCTGACCAAAAATTAAAGATATGCCTATATAAAACTATGATAGTTTTATAAATGTGGTATTTGAAAAAGGTAAACATTCTAAATATACAATCTTCTCTAATGAAAACAATACTAATATCTGGTAAAATGATATGTTGCTGTGAATTTTCAGAAATAACAGACATCAGTGAAATTTTATACTCATGCATTTTATATAAATAATCCAAATACACACAAGAGTCTGGTTTCTGCTTATGATAAGAAACCCTTTGAAAAAACCCTTGTTAAAAATGCCATAAAATGAATCACAATAATACAAGGTATGCCTGTACACAACTGTTAGCTGTGTCTCTTAGCTGTGTCCTTGATGAATGAGGGGACAGGTAAGAGGAGGTGGTAAAGGAGGAATCCTTAAAGACTATTTTTTAGAGTAAGGAAAACCAACCAATAAAACTGCTTCAATTCTAAAAATAAAAAGGGGGGAGTGGGTAAGCACAGTTGTATGTCACCTATCCAGAACTCTTGAGAAACAGGCATTTTAGGAGCCACTAACAGAATTATTGAAAGTGTAACCTATTAAGTGGTTAGTCAGTCAGCATGTATTTGAGAGCCTACTGTGTGTCTGACAGTAAACACCAGTATATTTTTATTTTTTGTTATTAGAGAAAAATTAGTTACTGTACGTATTTCTTTCCTTAAATACAGAGTACTAAAAATAGTTTAACACAATCTTTCCCAACCTTTTTCACATCAGGACATTAATAGCAGATAATTATATTTTTAAAGCACACTAGGGTAGGCTATTGTGAGGTAAATGAACCAGTGAACCACCCAAGTTGCTCCCCAGCAAAAGGGACTAGTGTGGGGACTTCCATCCTACTCAGTCATCTGAGAATGCTAAGGGGATCAATTTCTGGATCCACCCATAATTGTACACCATAGGAAATTCTCTTTTAACCTGTTGATTTGTTTGTAGTCATTAACATGAGTCTCCATGCTGCACTGAAATACAGTAATTTCTCAGGGATAGGGCATTTTAACCCTGAACAATTCAGTCTGTGCATCCCCAGGCCAGTGTGTCCTTCCCTCTCAACTAGACTGTGTCTTAACTTGGGTAAGCTCCTCATTACCACCAAACGTTAGGCCCAGATTTTGAAGTTACAGACTACTTACCTAAATTGAGTGGGAGCCAAATATTGATTGTTCTTGAGGAAAGACATAGGCTTTATAGTTTAAAAAATATTTGGAGGCCAATATTGATCATTTTTGAGGAAAGACATAGATTTTATAGTTTAAAAACTTAATCTAAGACATTAGCTAAGACAATTCAAAGGTAGGGTCACTTTTTGATCCCTTCCAGAAGTATTGCATAATTTAAATTTTATAATGGATGTGAAATTCTAAAGGTTATAATGAAATCCTTTTTTTTACAAAAAAGAAGCAATTAAAATAGATTAAAATTCTTCCAAAAAATTGAAACTTGATTTGAGAACAGCATATAAAATAAAATGTTCAGGAAAGAAATTTAGAAATAGTGAGACAAGAAAGTGGAGAATTACAGTAAGAAGAGAATGAAACATTACACAGATGGAGCAAGCAAAACTTTGATGACTTATTAAATATGAGGGAATTAGAAATTAAAAATGACCAATGTTTCTTATTTTACTAGAATAATAATAGGCTTATAGAATAAACAAGTCAAGATAGCAAGCACAATTTTGAAAATAGAATTTAATGTTAGGAATGGTGAATGTTAAAGTGATACAAAGTCACGTCAAGTTATCTGGCAAGAGAAACAGGCCAGAAATTCAGATGTGGGAATCAGATATAAAAACAATAATTGAAAACAGAGGGATAGATGAGTTATCTAAAGAAAAAGTGTCATACGTGCCTTAAAATAAGATAAGTTTTTTTCTCTCCCCAAATTATCTATCATAAAAGAAGGAGCTGCCTTATATTCAAATTGCTTACAAAATCACTAATATAAGGTAATCTCTCAGTTACTTTATTTTTTACTTGCTTGGAAAAGACATACTGTATTGTATTTTGGATGTAAATTCAGGCTACCTGACAGAATAAAAATTCTCAGATGAAGCCTGAGAATTGAACAATTGATTTTTAGCAATGTCCAGGTCATTGGTGATCTTGAAAGAACAATTTCACAGAGTAATGAGGAAGAAAGACTTCTTAAAGTAGGTTCAGTAGAGACTAGGAGGAAAAGAATAGAAAGCAGGTACATGGAGAACTCTTGAAGAATTTTTCTGTAAAGCATGCCAAGAAATGGGTTAGTGATTACAGAGGAATATACGGTTCAGGGACAAGTTTATTGATTGATTTTTTTTTTTAAGATGGGAAATATCATACTGTTTTGTATACTAGCAAGAATCATCAATACAAAAAAGAAAATCTATGATACAAGAGTGAGGGAACAACTACTAGAGTCATGTCCTTAAATAGGAGAGGTTGGGACTGAGTATGCACATGAAAGGGCTGGCCTTAGGTGGAAGAATGGGCCGTTCATCAGTAGGAAAAAGAGCAAAGGTAGAACGTGAAGGTACAACAGGTTGGTATTTGTTAAGGTGGGATTATGTGGAAATTCTCTTTTGATTTTTCTTTATTCTCAACGAAATAGGAAGCAAGACCATAAACTGAGAGTGAAGAGGGGGTAGAAGGTGCTGGCAGTTTGAGGGAAAATAGTCATTTAGGAGAATATAATATAAAAATGAATATTGTTAAGCAAGGCTGCCACAGGCTGAGCAATGCATAGCTCCAAGGAGTGTTATTTATGTAGAATATGATATAAATGGCAGTCCTGGAGTTGTATGATACAGTAGACCTTTATGGAGAACACAAATACATACATTTTAGGTATATGAAAAAGCCAATTGTGCTAATGTTCTATGACTGGTTTTGTGCATCTTGGGATAAAATTTTAGTAATGGTATCATATTCAAGATTCAGAAAGTACAATGTCTAAAACATCTTAAATACAGGTGAATATGACGAACTGTGGGACGGTGGTTTTCACATTTTTTGCTTGTTTATCCCTTAAAAAAATTTTTAAAGTGTATATACCCCCTTGTGTAATTTTAGAATGACACCTAAAAATTTTTTTCTGTAAGTTTAAATAGTTGCAAAGGATGTATTTTCTGGCGTATTGAGTAGTATATATGTGCTTTAATTATATTTTCATAAAAATATAAAGTTTCAGCTCATTTTATTGGAGTTACAGATTTAGGTCATTCAATTTATGGGAAATGTGTGCTGTAAAATCCGATTGGCAAGGCCATTTCTCATTGTGAAACAATCAGCCAAATCAAACTTAATTTTTGTCAGAAAAAGTTAGACTTCATATTTTGCTTGGTTCCATCAGAGACTTTTATACCCTAGGGCCATACACCTTAATAAGATCTGAAATAGACTGGGGAAATATCTTTCTCTTGTAAAGTGGGAGAAGGGCAAGTCATTTTTAGAAAGAGCTCATATGGAGGTTAGGATCTAGAAATCAATTTTCTTAAAGCTATACATGCCTGTCTACACCACGGAGAGTGTTAGATTATCCCAGGGTAAATGTACACCACCAGTTTGAAGACCTGTACTGTAGGACACATAAATGATTCCCAAAGTAGGGCTAATGATGATGAAGACATTAGTGTCAAAGGATGCCAAAAGTGGAATGAATTTGTTTCATGAAATGTGAGATGGGAAAAAAAATCATTTTTAAATTATTTTTATAAAATATTTTAAATATGTATATGCAATTGATTAATTTATATTGTAGACATTTGATTATTTCATTTATTTGCCAAGGATTGTATGCATTTAAATTGTCACCCAAAAAAAGTGGTTTTGTCTCACTGGGAAAAAGGAAGGATGGCCTTATTTTTCGCATAGATGTTATCATACAGTCTCACCTGGCTGTGTGTGGGTCCATACTCTTCTCAAGATGAGGATCCTTGAGTTCCAGGGGAGAAAGTGAATGTCTACAGAGGCCTCCTACATTCAGGATCCACAGTAGACTCCCACAATTGGCCTGTCTCTGAGAATCTGAATTTCCAGCGGGCATAAAGTATCCAAATTTTACTCTGGAACATGCCAGCACAGAATTTCATACACTACACACCCTGTTGATTTGTATCTTATTTAGTAGTCACATAAATTTTTTCTATTTACTAGTCTAAGCCAAATGGTAAAATTAGAACATTATCAGTGCTAAAAACATGAAGAACATGGTTTCAATACTTCATTGAGTTAATTAACCAAATATCTCAAGGTCCTAACCCCTAAATATATGTGGCTTACTAAAAAATAGAATCAGAGGAACCTGATAAAAATCTGTGGATGGATCACAAAACCCATAATTATCATTGAAAAATAAAACCATATGTCCTCCTGACATCATACTCAAATAAGGAGAAAATATGAATAATATTAGGTATCATAAATGAAAACTTAAAGTCAGCTTTAAATGATTTCATATGGATTGTTTTGTATTTATGGATGACTGTAATTTTGTTTCATTGGAAGTATTTCTAAATAGTGATGAATACCCTCTGGAAGGTAAGAATACTCTTCCTAGAGAACATTAATATTTAGTTTGTCCCCTGCTCCACACCACCAAGCAGCAGTCCTCGCTCTCACTCAGTGCAAACACATATTTCTCATATCTGCATAAAGACTGCGTATAGTGAAGCTGGTTTTTCGTAGAGAATATTTAGAAATTTGGAGAAAGGATTCCATAAGGTATTTAAAAAGTCATAAACTTTGTACTGCTGAGGGAGTAAATATTTTCTGGTCATTTAATATTATACTAATAAGTTGTTTTAAATCTAGTTAACTATTACATTATAATTCATTATTTTCTATTCACAGGGCTTCATTATTTCAAAAATGTTGTGCTGGTGGGATCTCTACAGGATCGCTATGTTCCTTATCACTCTGCCCGCATTGAAATGTGTAAAACAGCTTTAAAGGACAAACAGTCAGGTAATTAAATAAGTTAAAAGTATGTGAAAGAGTTATATCTATTAATGAGATTTTTCTCAAATCTTTCTTGTAATCACTTTCTCTCTTCTCTTACCCTTCTCTTTCCTTTTTCTTCCTTTTCTGCCCACTGATATTAACAGCTATCCTTCGACCATTTCTTCTTTTCTTTCTCTCCTGCCACATAAGCTGTCTTTACCAATGAAGTAGTTCTTTTATCTAATTACAAATAGATACATTTTGCTGCCTCATAAGTAATTCATACTTTGACTTCCTCTGGATTATTGGGATTGGTGATTGTGGTAATGATCATGCTGCACATTTTGTCATATCTCATTTTTAAGCAAAGATGGCACAAGAACTTAACCCCTGTTTACTGAGAGTGAGGTGATAAAGATTTTATTTGTTTATTCTTTTGTCATTTATGAATAACAAAAGAAATTTAAATCATAGCTATTTGGAGCCGGAAGGATACTTGAGTGCTGTGTGCTCGTTTTGTAACTGAGGCCCAGAGATACTAAGTGGCTTGATCCAAAGTCACTGACAGTTAATTGCAGACTTAGGGCAAGAACCTGGTTCTCCTACCTCTCAATAATGCCTCAGTTCCTTTTTTGGAGTGAGGCTGATTTTTAATCTCTTGATCCTTTGCTTTTTCCGCATCATGACAGTGAACAGCTCCTTAAGGCAGGAATTCTTTTAAGCACATTTGTATTTTCAGTGCCTAGCATGGTGCTTGGCACATAGTAGGTATTCCATTTATTTAACAAATGCTTATTGTACATTTGTGACATTGGAATAACCTTTTTTTAACTTCTGTACTAGCAAAGGCTAGACTTAAGGGAAAAATTCAGAAGAGGTTTAACCTTCAGATGGGTAGCTGAAACTAGATAAACATCCTTTGTTTTTAGCAGTGAGAGATTTTGTGCCCCTGAGGGATGGGAAATCTCATGAAGACAAGTTTGGACTTCTTCCTATGTAAACGTATTTTTAAAATAGCATGGAACCAGAAACCCAACTTGACTCACAATGAAAACTAAGAGGAGAGGTGGGAGTAAAAAGTTTTTCTAATGAATTTATATGATATCAGTCTTTCTCTTAAACACCTCTCTCTTCTTTCTCTGATTGTGCTTCTGTATACTCTTTCCTTCTTGTCATTCCTCAGGGCTGCATCTACCTCTCCTCTGAAATATAGTATCTACCTCTCTAAAATGCATAGGTTCCATGGACATGTTAGTATTCATCTATTAGTGATATAGTAGTGTGTAAGCATTATAAACAATATTTTGCCCCTTGTAAGGCAGTTTGTACATTTATGTGTATGTATTCTAATCTTTATCTTTTATGCTTAGCATGAGCTCAATAAATCCATTGTAACAATTAACCAAAAAGAGGTAAAGAGGAACACAACTTTGAATTAAAAGTAGAACCAAATATTAAATAAACCTTCAGACAAAAAAAATAAAAAGATTTTGTTTGTCCTTTGAGCCAAGCTCACATTGTTCTTCTGACTACAGGAAGTTGCTATTCTTTCTTAAAATAATTTGGAAATGTTGACTGCTGTAAAAACATTTTTCAAATACTTGCTGTAGACTAAAGTTTATAATTTTGCCTTATCAAAATGTCTCACCATGGCTAGCTTATTTTCATAATGGTTTAATGAGTTATAAGTAACTTAACATTGAAGAAAACTATTTGCTTTGTTATATACATTGCTTTGAGTTAAAAATATCAAATTGACAAGAATAATATATAATAAATTTATTTTCACTTGGCTAGATAAATAATGTGATTACTTATATTTTCTATTAATATAAACATTCTAAAAATGATAGCTGAAGAAAAATAAAACCTTTTAAAAGACATTTTTCTGCTTTCTATAGAAATAATGTAACTAAATTTTATAAATTACATGAAACTTGATATATAATTTTTTTCAGTTACTTATATGAATTAATTTTCCTTTTTTTCATTTGTTCCATAGGACAGATCTATTCAGAGATGATCCACAATTTGCTTCGCCCAGTTCTGCAAAACAAGGACTGTAATTTGATTCGATACAATGTCATCAATGCATTGCCCAATACAGCCGATTCACTCATTGGGAGAGCTGCACATATAGCTGTTCTTGATTCAGAAATATTTTTAGAGAAATTCTTTCTGGTTGCTGCCCTCAAGTATTTCCAATAGGATGAAAGCATTCTTAGAGACTGGAAAATTACCTCATTCAACAATGATTCAAATAATGTATTATATTAAAATGTAGATGCTGATAAGTTCTAAGAAATATTTATACCTTTTATATGGAAGATGATTTATATCATCCATATTTAGAGCTTTTTAAACATCAACTTTACTTTCTAGGTAATGTGGCTGTGCAATATTTTTTTAATTTTATCTTTTTACTTTTCTATTACTTTTTCATATATTTTGCTACCTAATTATTTCAGTGAAACTTTAAGCCCATATGTATGTCTGATTGGTTATTATTGGCTTTCCACAATCTTTACATCAGACTACATTATATTAAAGGCCGTTATTGCTAGAATAGCATGGGATTTTAAATTTTCTAGTATTGGGGTATTATTTAGTTAATTATAAATTTTACTTTTAACATTTTACTGTGTTTTAACTGGAAATAAAATTATGGCTGCTACAATATATTTTTTGAAATCAACTTCTTTAGACCTGAAATATACCTTTATCATATTATCAAACCAGGCAGTTCATATATGACAATGTTATAAAAGTTTTCTATAAAATCATTACTGTTGCTATTAAACATGTCATGCCTATTAAAATATATTTTCTACTGGTGATTTCAACATTATTTCTCATATTGACTTTTATTACTGGAAATTTTCATGTTCATGTTAGCAGCATATAAAGATTTTTGAATGTTTGAATGCCCTCTGCCTTGATTTGGTTGGAATCTTGCTAAATTGGTAATGTTGCTTGAACTTTGTGACTACATTTCTTTAACTTTTTTCATGGACTTCCTTATATGTACATAATAATTAAATGTTAAAATTTATGAAATACTTTTATGAATCTAAATAATTTTTAAATATTGTTAAAATTTTTTGAACTAAAAAGTAATGTAAATAAAATAATTCATATTTAAAATGCAACAAAATAATTAAATTTACATGTCTAATGATACAGATGCAAATGTTTTTGATATATGGAGATGTTGAGTGTTTTGACTTTACTAAAAAGGTGCTGAATAGCATTAAATTCACTATTTTCCTTTTCTGTTTACTTGTGAAAATAATGCACTAAGGGTGGATAGAAGTTCTGTTTGCATTCACCAATTTTGATGGACACAGGTTTTTTGTAAGTATGTGTATAATTGATGCATGTTTATTTTTAGCGTTGTATTATTGCCCCTGGTGTTAATAAATGAACAAACGACTATCTGGAGGAAGAGCTAAAACACTTGTAATCCTTTGCTTATTCTCAGAATACTAGAGGTATATATTTTTATTTGTAACTCAATATACTATATAAATTAGCCCTATAGACCAGCATAATCGTATGACTTTTAGCCTTTGTAAAAGTATTTTTATAATTTATATCTTTCATATATATTAAGTTAAAAGAATTTTGATTGCTCTTGATAATTTTTTACTTTTTAAAAAATACTCAAAAATTCCATAAATTGACTAATATACCAAGTGCATTATAACTGGAAAATGTAAATATATACATATCCACCACGTATTTCTGCCACACACATTTTTCATCTTCACATATACCTTGGCCCTGAGTTTGAATATAATGTATCTTCTAAGTTTGGATAACTTCCAGGTTTATCATTCTTACTCATATACACAGTATTTAAGGGTAAATTGCTCTTATGATCGTAGTTGGTTGATTGCTTGTTGGCTATTTTAATGCAGTTTTAAAAGTACATCTGTGATCATGGTTCAAAAGCTAACAAATTTAACTTCTTTGATTGATGAGGGAAACTATCATATGCTATTCACTTCCAAATTCAGATTGTGGGAGATGGATTGGGGATCTGAGGGAGAGAGGAAATGATTACCTGAAATGGTCTAATTGACTATTAGAGAATGAATCTCACTGAAGTATACCAAATAAGGTTTTGGTTGCAAACAACAACAAAAAATTTTGATTGACTGAATCAGAAAAAGAATTTAATGGAAGATTATCAGGTAGCTCACAAAATTGATGGAAAGGCTGTAGAACCAGGTTTGGAAAACAGAAACTAAGCAAACTAGATGACCAAAATCATAGCCAAGTTCTGATGACCTCAGGAAGAGCTGGAAGACTATGTATTCTGCTGGCAGGGATGCCCCTGAAAACTGGATTTCAAATACTTATTTCCATCACTCCAGATTCAAAGTTGGGTGGAATGTCCAACTGACCAAGTTTAAGTCTTGGCCAGTGCTTGAGCTATCAGGCAGCAAAGATATCTGACTTTTTCACCTTCCACAGTAGAAAATGAGACCATTTCTTCTACCAAGATTCACCAAACATATGAAATAGGTTTGATGATAGCTTCAAATATAAGAACATATCAAAGGTCTACCATAGTCCATTCTTTGTCTTTCCACCATCTGCAAGCACCATTCTCCCCATATTTACACATTTAAAATGCTTTCTCCTGACTATCCCTCATCCAGCTTCAAGTCTAGCATCTTAGTGTGACATCCTGTGGTTCTCTGGTTCTGCAATGATCTTGTCTCAATAGTTTGCAGCTCATAGACAAAATTGTGACCTAACCACCACCACTATACACAATAATAGTATAAGATAGGGGAAAAAATTATATAATATGCATGATCCAGTGAGGAAGGAAATCTAGCTAGAGCAATGCTTTGCAAGTGTCCTTGGTGAGAATCACCTGGGCTGTTTGTTCAAAATACAAATTTCAGAGCCCCATTACAGGTCAACTGAATCAGAATTTCCAGGATAGTGTAAAGGCAGCAGCATGTTTTATGTCCCAAACTTCTCTTATAAAGGACACCTCTGGTAAATGCAATACTCAGTTCTACCACTGGTCATGTCTAGATGGTTATGAGTTCTCCACACCACCACGTATTTCCTGTTTCCTTTGTGTTCAACCAGCACAAATCAGCTGATGAGATTTATTTGTCTAGCGGGTGTCCCAAAAATCTGAGATGTGGATAGTCTTGCCTATATATGGCTATAATAGGGTTTGCTTACTTTTTACAATTCAACGTGATTATTTTAAAAAAATAAAATACAAAAACATGGTACTGTGAGGACGTATTCTAGGAAATCCCCTAAGTTCTAGTCAAACTTCTCCCTTTTCCCCTTTGGTCATCAGGGCCAATCACTCCAACTAGCACCATCACCCCTTTTTCTAATCTAGAGGAATGAGGAAAAAATGAGCAGGTGGCAATTCCATCTTCCAATTTAGAGAAAGCACTGTTGTATCCTCTCCAGGAAGCACTCCTCCTCTGGATGCAAAAATTGCACTAACAGCCTGGAATCACTGAGATGGATGGCAAAAGTAGTGAAGGGTCTGAGATTTTATCCTCGCAAGCTAACAGGCTAGCCTGCTACAGTTTTGTGGATGCTGACAGGATACTCCTGGGTAAAAGACAAACGGCTTTATTACAGCAAAGTAGTAGCCAGAGTGTCAGCATATTTGCATCAGTTCTTGAAGTCCAAATTCCCGGTGTGAAGCAGAGAGCCAGGTGACACCTGTGTTACAGGAACAGAATCCAGGATCAAGCAATTTTTGAGCAAGAGCAATCAAACCAGTCTCTGCCCCCCAGGGGAGGGGGGCAGCAGTTAAATGGTAGTAACGCTGTAATTCCCTTGACCTACTTAGGTCCCTATATGACTAGCTATAGAAATGCCCAGTATCAGGAGATGGATAATACTTGCAGTCTGGCACACTGGTCAATAATATACAGGGATGCTCAGAGCCCATGGCAGATTGTCTCTTCTCTACCACAATGGAAAGCAAAATATATTTTACATCGGTGTGTCAGATGTAATAGTGAGGTATCAATCCCTTTTCTACTCTTTGGACTTGTTATTCTGTCAACAGAAGAGATATCACCGAATACTGTTAAGACATGTAGAGCATATGACAGATCCTTTAGGATAGCATCCCAAAGTATATTTTCTCACTTGGTTCCAAAACAACCTTCAATAAGACTGTCCATCATTCCATAAAACCAGTTGCTTCTGGATGATGGGATACAAGATAAGATGGGTGAATCCTGCAGGTATCAGTCCCCTGCTTTACATCTTCACAGGAAAAGGAGTTCTTTGGTAAGCAATGTATGGGATGTTATATGGAATATAATGCTGTATGGAATATAATGTATTCAGTAAGTCCACCAATCAAGTGTATAAAAGAAGCATAAATCGGGAAAAGCAATCCAAACCCAGAATGATTGTCTATTCCTATAAGAAAAAATTGCTACCTCCTTCATGATAGCGGGATTTCATTGTAATCAGACCTGCCACCCAGGCTACCTAATACTATATCACGGAATTAAGTTGGTCACACAGTTGGCGAGCAGTGGTGCTAGCCAATCGGTCATGACAGGGAAAAGACTATGTTAAAAGTTCACGTTTCCATTCTTGCCACCATGGCTACCTTGTTAGTGGGTCCGCTGAGCAAACAGAGCTGTGATAGAGGAAGGAGTCTGACTGATGTCCACAGAGTGTGTCACTGTGGTAGGCAGCCCTTGTGTAATCCCCTCTCTTTGATAGTGGGCTGGACCTAATGATAGAATACAACAAAAGTGGTAGATGTCTCCACTGAGATTACAAAAAGATCGGGGCTTCCATTGTGAGTAGTCTTTCATGCTCTTTGGTTCATTCATTCTGTGGAAAGCCAGGGGCTATGTTGTGGGATGGCTTTTGGAGAAGCCCACTTAGCAAAGAACTGAGGTACGTCTCCAGTCCAAAAGTCCACAAAAAACCAAATCCTGCCAATAATCATGTGAGTGAGCTTGGAAGCAAATCCTGACCTAGTTGTGCCTTCATTTGAGACTGGAACTCCAGCCAATGGCTTGGGTACACCCTCATTTAAGACCTAGAGCCAGAGGCACTCTGGCTGCTGGATTCCTGACCCATAAAAACTGTGGGAGAATAATTGTTTATTGTTTTAAGCCACTAAATTTTGGTATAATTTGTGAGGCAGTAATAGATAATTAATATAATGATCTTGTTCTGATTAAGAGCCCTTCTGCAATGGGAGCCTTTTTTTGAGTATTCAATGGGACCCAAATGTTCTCATGCTTTGGGGTCACTTTGAGGGGTCCTATTCCAAAGAACTATTCTAAAACTTTTATATTCCCAGTCACTGCCCATGAAATGATGTAGATCTTTATTTCAAGCCTTATTTCTTTCTAGGCAAAGTATGCAAGATAAACTAAGTTCTGCCCTCTGGGAGGAATTTTTTTTTCCTCTGCTCTTCCTTGAGGGCCTCCATAAATGGGGCTCTAAATGCAAAAAGCAGTCCATTGCCAGTTGGGTCAGTTTACTAGCAAAGCCATCTAGAACTCAACTTTGATTTTTTCCCGCAGTCTACTGGTCACAAATGAATTCATCATTAAGTTATAGATATAAGCTAAGGGTCAAAAGCATGACCGTAAGAGTGTGCGCTACCTCCTAATGAAAATTGCTTTAGTTTTGGCCCCAGCAGCTCCATCCCACTTCCTCTTAGTGAAAGGATTCCTTACCTAAGAGGACCAGATAACTCTCAGTTCATGATGAAAAACTCAGATTGCATAGCCACCTGATATCACACGGCCAGACACTACCACGACCCAATAGCTAATCAGAAACTTTTCTAAAAAAAAAAAAAAAATCCAAAAATTCTAGGGGCCTTCACTATGATTCTGTAAAGATGTCCACAAGCGCCCTAATCTGCCACATACACTCTCAGCACTGTTGGAGCTGTTGGAACTAAGGGTCAAGTGGCAGAGCCCCTCGCACTGCAGCCTGGCCCAGATGGAGAGCCTTCTCTTGCTGTGCACCTCACTCAAAAACGTCATCTTTCAGGTCATCTGAAAAGGGGGGGTCAAGGGGTCAGAGCTGATGAATTAGGAACTTAGTGAACAAAGAGAGATTTAAAATATAAAATAGAGGGAGAATGAAGTAAAAGCAGCAAACATTTTACTTGAGTGCAAAAGTGAAAGGTGATCAATCTTTGTATACTATAAAGGAGATCATTCCAGGAGACCTTTAGGCTGTAAGAGGCATAAACGGAATTATTCCCTCATCTACCTTAGCCATGATTTGGGGTTTTAATCAACATAGAGTTCAGGGTAGTTTGGGTCTTCCTTAGTGAGACAGCTGAGCCACTTAAAGCTGGAGTCTAGCTCAGGATCACGGACTCCCAGAGTTGGCTACAGAGGCCCCGCCCCATGAAAGCCCCGCCCCCCGGGGGCGGCCCGGGCGCCGCCGCCCGTTCCTCCCCTGTCCCTCTGCGCCTGCGCGGAAGCTGGGGCGTTGGTGCCATGACCTTATCGAGGGTCCCCTGGTTGCTTAGCGGCCCCTTTGCCACGGCATGGACAGCGACAAGTAAGGCGCTCTGCCCCGGGGCCAAGGTTGCGGGCGGGGTCGCGGAGGCCCGGGCGCCGCGAGAAGTGCCTCCCGCGGCTTCCGTTTGTCCCGGACATTAGTTGGCGCTAGGGGCTACGGAGCTTCTCTCCAGCTCGGCCACCCGCGCCCTGGCCCTGGGCAGGTCCCTGCGCCGCCCGGGTCTCGAGGGTGGGACTGCAGCTGGGAGGTTGCCAAGGCCCTTCCAGCCGGGACTTCCGCTTCCTTCCGGCCGCTGCTCTGACCTAGGAAGACCTCAGACGTTCCGAGTTGTTTCTGTGGGAGCTCGTAGGAGGCACTGCGCTCAAGCCCCTGAAAAACATGGAAAATAAGACCCTTTAAGAATGGGAGTCATTCATTTGCTTATTTATTTACATCAAAAAGGATTTGTGGCAATTGACAGTATGAAAGAATATTGGAAAAATTTAGAAGTGGGCCCAAGACAAATTAGTATAACAAAAATTAGACGAAGTCAGGAGTTGTTAGTACAGAAAGCATGCATGTTTTCAATAGAAAACATTTCTTAATCCATTTTTGTTGGAAATTTTTCTAAATATATTAACAGTTAGTTAGCAACCTACGGAGTATGCTAACCATAATTTTAATTTATAACATACAGAGACATGTGTATGAGTTGAAACCACAATTACTGCCCTTATAGTAAATGGCCTCAGATTTCCATGCAATTTTTTTTCCTTTGTGCAATCATTTTTCCCAAATACATTTTACTTGTTAATTGTAAAAATTTTAAATGGCCCAGAAATGAGTAATAATAGAACGTGAAAGCCCCACATTATTCAAACTCCAGGGTAATGACTGTTTAAAATTTGTTGTATTCATCCAGCATCCCTTTTTCATTCATTTTAAACACTTTTGAAGTATTTAATACCAGAAATGTATACATGTAGCACATTGTGTACGTTATGAAGCAAAACCAACGTCTATGAACTTATTCTCCAGTTTAAGAAATAGACTCTTTCCATTGCCAAGGAGCTCCTGTGCGCTGCTCCCTGATACAATTGTGTAACTTTGTTTTTGACTTTCACAGAAATGGTTTCATATCATTTCTATTTATTTTATTTGCTTTTTTTCCAGCTAACACTGTTTTGAGTTTGATCCATATTGACATATGAGGTTGTTATTTATTCATCTGTGTGAATATATAGTTTCCATTCGAAAAATTTCTTTAAATATGTTATTTTGTATTCTGAATTCAGTATATGAAATCTTTATGGTCTGGGCCTATTGTTCTGTTGTTTGTTGATTCTGCTGACTTGTTTGTGATGGCTTGTTTCCTCGAATTTTACTGAGATTCTCTTTGTGAGACTTCTGTGAGACATGGGTTGAGAAAATATTTCTCTCCTCAGGAGATTTGCTTCTGCCTTTGCTATATATCTGGGAGCACTTCAACTTTAGACTTGGGTCCACATTATATTAATAGTAAGATGCTCCCTTTGGAGGTTTTTGGACTATGCAAATAATGTGTATTCAGGCCTAAACACAGGTGTGGTCAACTAGTGGCTTCGTTTTTTCACATCTCCACTCAGAACTAGGGTTGAAATGGACACTTTTCTTTCCTTAACGGTTCTCTTCCTTAACTGGAAGTTTTCTTCTAGTTTCTTGCTCTGTCGTCCAGTAGCATGAGCATCACCTGGGAGCTTGTTAAAAATGCAGAATAATAGGCCCCACCCAGAACTACTTAGAATCTGCATTTTTTAACAAGTTCCTCCCCAGCTGGTTGGTGTGCACATTTTAAATCCATCAGTTCACTTTCTTTTCTTAGTGTGTGAGTCTCCCTGAGTCCTGGCTTCTATTAGGCTTTATCGTTTTGCTCAGGCTTAAGAGACTGTCATCTCCCTGCTGTCCTGAAAGCTCTATAACCCAAGCTCTAGGCAAGAAAAACACAAGATAGGTAGCAGTTTCAGTTTAAGTGTTTACCTCACTGGACTGTTTTTTCAGTTTATCACTGTTTACTTTCTTAAAAGTTCTTTCTGTGATTTAGAACTGTTGTATATATTTTTTGACCCTTGTAGATGTTTAATTGCTATACAGTTTTGTATTGCCGATTTGTCAGATTGCCAGAAACAGGAGTTCTGAGTTGTTTGTTGTTTTGTGTGTGTGTGTGTCATTGACTCTTTTGCTTTTATTATTTCTTCTTTTAGAAGGTCAACTTCTTACCTGTAATATACATGTAAACACAGTTGTAAATAGGCTTTGGATAAGGCCAAACCACACCTTAAAGTAAAAGACATGGGCTTTATGGTGGTTATTTCCTTATATTCTTTGAAAGATGGTTTTTGTTTTAAGTTAATCAACTATTTCCTCTGTAGTTGAGGTAGTCAGAAGTCAACCGATAGCCAAAATGTAACATTAACATTAATATAGTTTCTATTGCTCAGCACCTACTATCTGATAGGCAGAATTACCAGGAGTAGCCCTTGGGCTCACCTTTGCTTGTCTACTAATCCTTCTCATCTGATACACCTTTCTTGTCTGCCTTAGAGGCTACTTGTGTGTGCCTCACTACCCCCACCCCTGCCAAGCTGCTGTGCATGCACCTGTGTCCCAAGCTGTATAGCCTCCAGGTGCCAAGGAGTCTTACCTCGTGTTATGCAGAAACAAGGGTAATGCTCTTCCCCCACATTCTGTCATACTGTTACCTGACTACAAAAATAGTTCTTTTTATACCTCCAATGGTCTCAGAGACCCTTGAGAAAACTGGTCTTTCAGCTTTCTCTTGTAACCCTTCTTTCTATAGATAAGGTCTCTCAGAAGTGTGCAAGGCCAGCCTGGGGGACCAGTTTCTCAAACATAACTTTGCTACTCTTTTCTCTTTCCCCAAGATTACGCTTGTGTTCCTGTTCTTCACCAAAAACTCTTATGCAAATTGACTTCTACATCCCATAGTTAGGCTCAAGTTACTGATGCATTTACTGTGTACACATATACAGACAAACACATGTTCATTTCTCTTACCTATTTGCATGCATATATATTTGTGTATGTATTTTTAAGCAGGGGCTATGGTTATATAGTGATGACTAGAATGTGAATAAAATATATATATAATGAAGTAACATTCTAATTATATGTAATGCTGTCAAGAGCTTCCAGATAACTCTATAAAAATAATAATAGATACAATTTGTCATTATACTAAATGCTTTTTCATAAATTGTCCTGTTTATTCAGTAATCTCATCAGATAGGTACTGTTATTTCCAGTTTAGGGGGAAAGAAACAAAGACAGTTTTAGTAACTTGGCCAAGGACAAACAACTAGTAAATGATTATATTAGTTTCCTATTGCTGCTGTAACAAATTACCACAAACTTAGTGGCTTAAAACATTTTACAGTTCTGGATGTGAGAAGTCTGAAATGGCTCTCATTGAGCTAAAATGAAGTTGTTAGCAGAACTGTGGTTTTTCTGGAGGCTCTGGGGAAAACCTGTTTCCTTCCCTTTTCCAGCTTCTAGAGGCTGCCCACATTCCTTGACTCAACCCCTTCCTCCATCTTCAAGCCAGCAACATCAGCTCAGGTCTGTCTCTGCCATCTCTCTGGTTCTCTCTTCTCTTTTTAAGGACCCTTGTAATTGCATTTACCCACCCAGATAATCCAGGATAATCTCCCTAGTTTAAGGTCATTCAATTAGCAACCTTAATTCCACCTGCTACCAGAATTCTCCTTTGCCATATAACCTAATCTGTTCACAAATTCTGGGTATTGGGTTGTGATCATCTTTGGGGCCACTATTCTGCTTGCCACAGGAGTATAGCTGGAACTAGTACCCAAATTTATCTGCCTCTAAAGTTATTCCTTTAGGAAGTTGAAAACCCCCAGCAGTGAGATCATTTTTTCAGTGTGGTTTTGCCCTTATTGAACATTATCTCACGAAGGGGTTAGATAACTTTCATAGAATTGAAAGTATAACTTTGTCTTTACAAACTAAGGAGAAAATGATCTCATTTCCACATTGCAGATGCCCAATACATTTTTTTAAGTTTTCAGTTGTTAGGAAAAGAGGACCATGATTAGGATTTAAATATAAGAATATTAAATATAGCCACTCGTGACTTCTAGAGATTTAAATACTAAATATTATTTAAAAGTTCATACTAATGTACTTAGCTACTCTTAATGTTCTAACTCCTGGTATTTTGGCATTGTCTCAGACATAAATTAGTGGTTTATATAAATTTCTGCAATTTTGTAATGGTTAACTAACTTATTTCATAGCTCTTCTTTTCAAATTGGTTATCTCCCAGGAAGGGAAATGGCTATCTAGAAGACAGGGGCAGAAGGAAGAATTTTCACTGTATATATGTGTGTGTGTGTGTCCTTTGTACCTTTTGAACTTTGATAAATATGAATATATAAATTAAAAACAAATAAAATTATTAAATGTTTAAAGTAGAATGAATGAATAGCTCCTATCTTTCTATTATTTCCACTCTGCTAGGATCACCCCTTCTGTGTCATTCTTTGAGGAAAACAAGTTCTTCTCAAGGAGGAAAGTCTGAACCCATCAAACAATTACTTAAGAAGCCAAAGTTACCAGAAGGTCGTTTTGATGCACCAGAAGATTCCCATTTAGAAAAAGAACCACTGGAAAGTGAGTAAAGAGCCTCTCTTAAGTATCACAGAAAGTGTTTTAGTTAGTGAGAAAATAAATGTTATTTTTGCTTATAATTTTTTTAACAATATAGAGTATATTTTACCTGTGTGTAAAATCATCATATTACCATATCGATCATTAATATGAATGTGGTTTTTTTTGTTGTTTTTTTTAAGAGATCGGGTCTTGCTCTGTCACCCAGGCTAGAGTACAATGGGGCAATCATAGCTCACTGCAGCCTGACACTTTTGGGCTCAAGCAATCCTCCTTCCTCAGCCTCTGGAGAAGCTGAGACTACAGCTAACACACCTGGCTAATTTTTTTTTATTTTTTGTAGAGATGGGGTCTTGCTATGTTGCCCAGGCTAGTCCTGATCTCCTGGCCTCAAGCAGTCCTGCCACTTTGGCCTCCCAAGGTACTAGGATTACAGGTGTGAGCCACCATGCCCAGCCATGTGGGTTTGTTTTTGTTTTTAAAATTTCCAAGCCACTGATAGGTATTCAGTTGGGTTTGATTGGGTTTGTTTTTTATTATACCTCATTATTCACATGACAGAATATGTAATTTGAGACCTTCTTTGATACAAATAACAGAAACCTACTTAAGCAGAAGTGAGGCACCGAAGGGCAGCGATGCTGCTGGGCTGGGAAAAAGACTAGAACCTCGAGACTAAATACTATATGGAAACCAGGATACTTTCCCTCTTTCTCTTGTCTCTGGTCACTTTTCTTCATTGTTTTCTGTCTCCAAACTAGCTTCTCAGTCCACTGGGCAGAAAATAACTGCTCCTAGCAGCTATTCAGTTCAAGAGATCAGCCAAACTGACACTAGAATTTCTTACTTCTAATTCCAGATTCCTTAAGAAGAAAGCTCATTGGCCAAGCTTGGCTCAGGTGTCCCCAGCTGAATCAATCTTAGTGACCCAATCTGAGATGGGTCACATGTGAAGGTGATTGTTCTCACTATAACCACATGGTTAGAGACAGAGAAGGGGTAGTTTTGAGACTAAAGAGATTGGAGGAGGGGGTAATACACTAAATATTATTTTGTGTTCAGTATATATAAAATTTGGCTCTCATGCCTTAAAGCTCATTTTAAAAGTGCTACTTTATTTTCATTCTATACCTTTTTATACCTTTGAATTATAGAACATGTACAAGCATTAACTATTCAAAAAATAAAATTTTAAACATCATAAATATAAACATACCACTTTGAGTCCTTGGCCAGGCTGTCCTGCTTGTCTAACTTTTCCAGTGAAATGAGAGTTAACCCATCTGTGTAGTGAAGCATCCTAGTCAAGAAGATATCAGGATGCAAGAAGATATCAGGATGCAGGGGTCTGTGTCTGAAACTTTTCTAGAATATAAAAGCTTTAATTTTTTGCTTTAGTTGTCAATTTATAGCACTATACCAAGCCCAGTCTAATAACCAGACCAATCAGCCAAGTTGATAGAGATTTTTAAGAAGTTGTCATAATTTAAAGGCAAAATTTTTCTTGAGTGGTTTTTAGCTAAACAGAAAAATCAGAGGGGAAATATTTGCTTAAAACATCAAGATTAAATTAGGTATCTTGAGATAGGGAGGATATCCTGGACCACCCAGGTGGGCCCAGTGTAATCACAAAGATCCTCATAAGAGGGAAGTAAGAGGGTCATAGAGAGATTGGAAGATACTGCACTGCTCCCTTTAAGACGGAGGAAGGGGTATGGGATGTGGGCAAGTCTGTGTGTGTTCAAGGGCAGCCTCTAGAAGTGGGAAAAGGCAGGAAAACAAATTTCCCCCTAGAGCCTCCAGAAGGAGCGCAGCTCTGCTGACTCTTTGGTTTTAGCCCAGGGAAACCCGTGTCAGGTTTCTGATCTCAAGAACTATAAGATAGTAAATTTGCATCATTTTAACTAAAAAAGAAAAAAAATAACACAAGAATTAAACAGCAAGCCCAGAAATCAAATCTCACACATATGGTCAATTGGTTTTTTTGTTTTTTTTTTTGAGACATCGTCTCACTCTGTTGCCCGGGCTAGAGTGCTGTGGCATCAGCCTAGCTCACAGCAACCTCAAACTCCTGGGCTCAAGGGATCCTCCTGCCTCAGCCTCCCAAGTAGCTGGGATTATAGGCATGTGCCACCATGCCTGGCTAATTTTTTCTATATATTTTTAGTTGTCCAGATAATTTCTTTCTATTTCTTTAGTAGATATAGGGGGGTCTCACTCTTGCTCAGGCTGGTCTCGAACTCCTGAGCTCAAACCATCCACCCACCTCCGCCTCCCAGAGTGCTAGAATTACAGGCGTGAGCCACCGCACCCAGCTGTCAGTTGATTTTTGATATTGGTTTTTGATAAGGGTGCCGGAACCATTTAAAGGACAAAGGACAGTCTTTTCAATAAATGGTACAGGGAAAACGGAATATCCACATGCAAATAAAGAATTTTGACGTTTACCTTACTATCACAAAAAATTAACTCAAAATATATCAAAGATCTGAACTTAAGAGCTAAAACTATAAAACTTTTAGAAGAAAGTATCAGGGGAAATCTTCATGATATTTCATGGATATGACATCAAAAGCACAGGCAACAAAAAAATAGATAAATTGCACTTCATCAAAATTAAGAACTTTTTTGTATCAAATGACATTATCAAGAAAGCAAAAGATCAGCCTTTCTACCATAGAATGGTAGAAACTATTTGCAAATCATATGTCCGACAGGGGATTAATATCCAGAATATATAAAATACTCCTGCAACTTGACAAAAAACAAATCCAATTCAAAAATGGGAAAGGACTTGAGTAGATATTTCTCCAAAGAAGATATACAAATGACCAATAAGCACATGACAAAATGCTCAGCATCATTAATCATTAAGGAAATGCAATTCAGAACTATTGTGGCTATAATCAAAAAACTGGAAAATAGCAAGTATTGTCAAAGATGTGGAGAAATTAGAACACTCATGCATTTCTGGTGAGAAGGTAAAATGATGCAGCCTCTGTGGAAAACAGTTTGGCCATTCTTCAAAAAGTGAAATGTAGAACTACCATATGACCCAGCAGTTTCACTCCTATGTATATATCTAAAAGAATTGAAAGCAGGGACTTGGACAGATATCTGTATACATACCCATGTTCATAGCATTATTCACAATAGCCAAAAGGTGGAAATAATCCAAGTGTTCATCAATAAATGAATGGATAAACAAAATGTGGCACACATATACAAGCAGTGAATACTGTTTAGTGATAAAAAGCAATGAAATTGTGATATATGCTGCAACATGGATGGACCTTGAAAACATTATGCTTCGTGAAATAAGCTGGACATAGAAGGACAAATATATGATTACACTTACATGAAGTACCTAGAGTAGTGGAAACCATAAAGACAGAAAGTAGAATAGAGGTTATCAGGAGCTGGGGGACGAGAAAAAGAGATGTTTTTGTTTAATGGGTATGGAGTTTATTATGAGGATGATGAAAACGTTTTGGGTATAGATATGGGAATGGTTACACAACATTGTGAATGCATTTAATGGCACCAAATTGTATACTTAGAAATGGTTAATATGATAAATATTATATATATTTACCATAATAAAGAAAAAAGAAGAAAGCACATTTAAAAAGTCAGTTATCTATTTGACGTAGAGATAGGCATTCCTCTTAATTTTTGAATCACTCAAGTTTATGTTGAACCTTACATCCCTTAGAAATTGCTCTAGCAGACATCACCAAATCTGGTAGATGCTTTTTGATTCTCATTTTATTTGAACAATCCACAACCCTTGACAGTGCGAACTAGTGATTCTGGAAATCTCCTGCTTTAGTTTCTATTAATATTTACTTTCTTTAGTTTCTCATTCTGTTTTTTCAACCATTTCTTCCCAGGCTCCTTTGTAAGTTCCTCTGCATCTGCCCAACACCTGAATGTGGGTATTTGCCAGGCCTCTCTCCTTAGCCCCCTAAGCATTCCTAGGGACATCTTATATTTTCCTAAGATGATTTTAAATATTATATCACATACGTGTTGGTGATTCACACATGTATGCCTCTAAGGCAGATCTCTGTCTTGAGCTTCACTCTCCTATTTCCAGTTGCCTCCTGAACATCTTCCTTTGCACATTCCAAACATCTCGGAATTAGTATTTCTAAAACTTATCCAGTATGCATTTTTCCCACTCACCTTCACCCACCAGCTTGAATCCACATCTTCCTTTTCCTCTGGATTCCCAGTCTACCCCATCTGCCAAATCACCCAAGCCTGAAATCTGAAATCCTTCACTCCTCTCCCTGTCTCCTGTATCCAATCACTAACCAACTCTGGTTGATTCTGCCTTCTTAACATCTCTCAAGTTCATCCCCTCTTATTTATCCTACCAATAAAGCCTAAATTGAAGCTGTATCTAGCTCTATTGAATGAAACCATGTGTGCTCACAAGATTGCCATAAGGATAAGATGAAATCTATTCATTCACTCATATGACACATATTAAGTGTCATCTACAAGCCAGGCATTGAAACAGCAGCAAATAAAACACACAAAAATATATACCATAGTGGAGCTTAACATTTTAAGGAGAGAGACAGACAATAATCAAAGTAAATAAGAAAAAAATAGCAATAAATGCTAAACAGAATGATAAATCTAGGCAGGGAATGGGAAGTATTTTGAGGATGGCAAAAAATATAGAGACACAGTTTAAGAATTAGGGTTCTTTCTAATAGCTGGTTCCTCTCCTGTTTTTTCCATATGTATAGCAGTACAGTGTATAGGCCAAGAGTAAGACTGCAGACAGAATGTCTGAATTCAAACTCAGTTTCACCACTTAGCTGTGTGTGGTATTGAGCAACTTTCCTAATCCTTCGTGTCTCATTTTCTTCATCTATAAAATAGGGACGATAATTTTTCCTATCCCATAGGATTATTATGAAGGTTAAATGAGTTAGTGTGTATAAAGTGCTCAGAATTGGGCCTGACTCATGATAGGAACTTCTATTATGCACACATAGTATTAAGAATAGTAATTGCTATTAATGTTATGTCCATAAGTGGTCTAGCTAGCCATTTACTGAAGGTAAAACCCTATGATGAGGAGTAATAATACTCAAAGCTGAAATTAATTGACATTCTTATGTACCTGGCATTATACCAGACCGTTTACAGGACAATCTTCTTTAATTCTTAACATAGTAAGGCAAGTATGATTTTTCTTCCCATTTCACAGGTCAGAAAACTGAGGCATTGAGTCAAAGTGACTCATTCAAAGTAATCTTATTTTAAAACCTTCCAAGTCTCATGAACTTGCACTCTGTGTTTTCTGCACCCCTTCCCTTCTGTTTGGATCCAGCTGCACATATGTAGCCACTTCCCAAATCCGGGGCTGAGAGCACTCCCATAATTCTAAGTCGTTAGTATTGATGGTAAACTTGATTGAATATGAAAATTGTATCCTAAAGTGATTTCTCAAACTCAGGAAAAAGAACCACATGGATAGTTCATTTAAAGACTGCGTAGTAACTTGGTCAGTAATATTTAGCCTGGTATGCAACCCTGTCTTCAAATTTGACTGTAATGCTTTTCCTGGCTTCTATGACTGCTTCGTCAAAGAAGAATTTCTGTTATGCACTTTTGTATCTTTTGTGTCTTATCTACTTTAATATCTTTTGTTTTCTGTAGAATTTCCAGATGATGTTAATCCAGTTACCAAAGAAAAAGGTGGACCCAGGGGCCCAGAACCTACACGATATGGAGATTGGGAACGAAAGGGACGCTGTATTGATTTTTAAGTCACATGTTCTTTAATCTCAGTATTGTTTTCTGAATATGTACAACTGAATTAACTTATTTCTGATTTTTTTCTTTATATCCTTTAAGTCATGTAATTTCCATAATGTGTTTAAAAATATATATGATGGCTTTGGAAGAAAATATGCTGCTATAAATTAGAAAAGGAAAATTTATTGGAGTTTATAAAGATGATGAGAGCTGCAAACTTCATCGTTTTTCAGTTTAAATTAATCAGTTGCTTATAAAATGCACATGTAAATAAAATGTTTTTTAAATTGATTATGTTGCCATGTGCTAGGTGGTGGTTGTTAGTGGCTTTTTAACTGAGAGTTGAATAATGCATTGTAGTTTGAGAAGGCCACAGTAACAACACATATTCTGTTGGAGCCAGATTACTTGGGTTTAAATCCTGACTCTACTACTTACTTCTTAATGTGACCTTGGGTAAGTTATTTAACTTCTCTGTGCTTCTGTATCCTTGTGTGTAAGTTGGAGATAATAATAGTCAGGCAGTTAAGAAGAGTAAATGAATAAATAATATGTGTATTAGTGTTTTTCAGACAAACAGAACCAATAGGATAGATATATAGAGATTGATTAATTGATTATGAGGAATTAGCTCATGTACTTCTGGAGGCTAAGAAGTCCCATGATCTGTCATCCCCAAGCTAGAAACTCAGAAAAACCAGTAGTGTGATTCAGTCCGAGTCCAAAGGCCTGACAAGGGAGCCAATGATGTGAATCCAGTCCAAGGGCAGGAGAAGGTTAAATGAAATGTCCCAGCTCAAGCAGTGAGGCTAAAAAAAAGGGGCAAATTCCTCCTTCCATCTTTTGATCTATTCAGGCTCTCAATGAATTGAATGATGCCCAACTGCATTGGGGAGGGCCATCTGCGTTACTGAGTCCACCAATTCAAATGTTAATCTCATCCAGAAACACCCTCACAGACCATGTTTAGTTTGGGTACCCCTTGGCCTATTCAAATTAACACATAAAATTAACCATGCCAACATGTAAGCCACTTGAAGCAGCGTATATAGCACGTACCTCTCAGTAAGTGTTAGCTATCCTTCAATTATGAATCTGTTCTTCCAGGTCTCTAGGCTTCTAGGGGAAAGATTTAAAAACCGGAATTTGAAATACTTGAGTTGAAATTATTTTATATTACTAGAACATTTAAAAATCATTAGTTGAAAAACAGTGATTATTTAAGTGAGTAAATTAAAATATATATTAGTTTATGGAACATAAAATTAAGGTAGGTGCTATGGTTTGCACGTGTGTCCTCTCCAAAACTAAAGTTGAAAGTTAACCACAGAAGTGGCCATATTGAGAGACTGGGGCCTTTAAGAGATTGGTTCCCCACCACACTGTTCCTGGATGCTGGACATGGAAGTTGAAAGAGATTATTCTCCAGCTTAAAATGTAATGTCTGCCCCTTTGGGTTTCTGACTTGCTAGGGGCCTCAAGTCCTTTTCTTCTTTCTTATTTTTTCCCTTTGGAATGGGAATGTGTATCCTGTTCCTGTCCCACCAGTGTATCTTGAAAGTAGGTAACTTGTTCTCACCGGCTCTCAGATGAGACTTTGGACTTTTGAGTTGGTGCTGGAACAAGTCAAGACTTTAGGGGTAGGGGATGAAATTAATGTATTGGTATGTGAGAAGGACATTAGTTTGGGGGGCCAGGGGCAGAATGTCATGGTTTGAATGTTTGTCCTCTCTGAAACTCATGTTAAAACTTAATCCCCATTGTGACAGTATTAATGGGGTGGGAAATCCAACCATGATACTTGATAGGTGGGACCTTTGGGAGGTAATTGTGAGGGTCGTGAGGGTGGAGCATTACTGGCTTTGTAAGAGGAGAAGGACCTGAGCTGGCAGGCTTGGCCCCCCCACCATGGGATGCCCTGTGCTGCCTCAGGACTCTGCAGAGTCCCCACCAGCAAGAAGGGCATCGCTAGATGCAGCTCCTCAAGCCCAGACTTCCTCGCCTCCAGAACTGTAAGAAATAAATTTTGTTTTCTTTATAAGTTATCCAGTTACAAGTTTCTTTTATAAACAACAGAGAACAGACTAAGTAGTTATAGAGGAAAAATATGAGAAAAACAGAATAGAATGGGCCGTCAAAAACTCCTATCCTGTGGCCTTTTGATAACTGGGTCAGGAAAAGTCAAATCCAGTTTACAGATCTGGAATAAAGGAAGGACGGGAACTGCTGGGCCCCCCAAGGCATCCTCTGCTGCATGTCCTCTGGCCTCACTCATTCGCAGAGGTTGGGCCTTCACATCCTAGGCTACACTTGAATTTCTGAGGAAGAAAGGGTTTTCAGAACCTAAGACAGAATGCATTAGTCTGATAATTGTGTGGTATGAATTATAAGTGCAGTATTTTTTGAGATTATAGGGAGACTCATTTATTTTCCCCAAAAATAAACTAGTGTGCTAATTAGGACTAATCATTTGATTTTTGTATCAGTTTTCTCTCTTAGTCAACATTTGTTCTTCTAGTTGCAGTTATTGTGTATGCTGCTAAGTAATAAGCACATTTCTTTAAAAATATTCTGTAATTTGGTCAACCTACAATTAGCCCAAATCAGTGAAGGTTTTTACTAAGTTAACATTCCCAAAATAGTATGTTAAATTTTTTTTGTATGGTTTTGCTTATATTCTACAATAATCATCATGATATATGATAAAAGAATATTTATAGGCAGGGTGTGGTTGCTTACGCCTGTAGTCCTAGCACTCTGGGAGGCTGAGGTGGGAGGATTGCTTGATCTCAGGAGCAGCCTGAGCAGGAGTGAGACGCCGCTTCTACTAAAAAAAGAAAAAAATTAGCCGGGCTTGGTGGCGCATGCCTGTAGTCCCAGCTCCTCAGGAGGCTGAGGCAGGAGGATTGCCTGAGCCCAGGAGTTTGAGGTTGCTGTGAGCTAGGCTGACACCATGGCACTCTAGCCCCAGCAACAGAGCAAGACTCTGTCTCAAAAAAAAGAAGAAAAAAGAATATTTATATACTCCAAAAGCTAATATAAAATGCATAACAACCAAAGTGTTATATTAAGATAATAGAATCCTTAACCTCTGTTAATAGTAACATGTTTCATGACAGTTATCAAATATAGAGGTAAACTTTGGTGGCATGAAATCATTTATGGTTTGTATGTCTATCAAGCTAATGAAAAAACTTGAAGACTATCAATTTGATACCTACAAAAAATGATATGGCAGCCATGGAAATGCATCACCCAGATCTCCCCCTGTGGGAAGCAGAGTTGATTGAGAACCCCAGCTGCTACCCCATGGGATCCACCATTGTGTTCCTGCTGTTCCCAGCCAAGGAATGAGTATGGCGTGGCTATTAATGCTGGCCCACTCCCATGATGGGCAACATTAGCTCAATGACTCCCCTTTAGCCTGCCTAGAGTTTTCTCAGTACCATGCTACGTCTAAGATGCTTCCCGCCCAATGCTTCCCGCCCAACGCTCCTTTCCTGCACCCTCCCCTTCACAGGTGTCAGACCATGCCTACTCCTCTCTTTTAAAATTCACAGCTGTCTCCCCTAATAAATCTTTTTCAGACTTAATCCCATCTTGCCATCTGTTTCGTAGAGAACCCAAATTAAAGTGGATAATTTTAAAAGAACAGCTTATAGACGGGTTTTCAGAAAATGTCACACAAACCTTTTGACTTTCTCTGGTATAATCGTAGTTTAAACACTTTGATTTTACATTGTTTGGGGGATTTCTGGGAAATTGTATGTTGACCTTTTATGTACAAGGCTCATACCGTGGAGCCTTGTACATACTGGGTGTTTTGGTTGAATTAAATTATGTCCAGCATTTTTTCTTACTTCGATAGAAGTTACTGGGACCTACTATGAGTCAAAATATGATATTACTTATTATTAAATGTGTAAGAGCAAGCCTAAAACCGTATTCTGCTAGTAAATAACAAATGTTCATTGGGTGAATAGAATAGTTTACAGGGAGAAAACTTTGTAATAGCAACCATTAATGATATATCAGCAATTTGATAATTTCAGAACAGGACAGTAATTTTTATAAGTACAGGATAAAAATGTCAATGGGTTATTAGTTAATCAATACTGATTGACCAATTAGAAGGAAAGTAAAATGAAGAGTGCCTGATGAGTTCATTCATTCATTAAATTGATTCATTCATTATTGTCAATTATCTATGTGCTAGATATTCTGCTAGGCTCTTTATATTTGGTGATTTATGAAACAGCTCCTGTCACCTTGGCATAAAGTCTGGTGTGTTTGATTTGCACATGCGAACAATTCCAGAAGACCAACGATTGAAGACTAAATGGACTGCAGGTCCACCAAACCAAAGAGAACTTCCTAAATTTGATGAGACTATCAGTTTCTGGGATTTTGGTACCAGATGACTCTTCAGGACCTGGATTTTCACCTTTGAAATCTAAACTGACTCTGTGTGATATTTATTAATTAAATTAAGTATTCATTCTATGAGAAAACATGTTCTGACTTTGCCAAATGTAAGCCTCCATGGACATTGATCAAGAAGTTATGGAGTGATATAGTTAAGATTCCTGGATATGTAAAGATTCCTTAAGCCATTGCTGGTCCAAGAAGAGCATTTCTGGTGAGTATCCTTCTGCATAACCACTGGAACTAAGCTCCTCCAGACTTCCCTAAGTGAGAACTGGTTGCTGTAAATGAATTATAAAAGATTATTGAACTATCCATGAACATGAAGGTATATGTGAAAGTAAGAAATATGTATGATTAATAAGTACTTTGTTCTAAGTGTTCCTCAAGATCTTTGATTTGTAAAAATGGATAACTCCTGATGACACTTCTATTGACCTTGGCCTTAGTCTCCCTCTCCTCCTCCTTCTCTTTAGGTAGAAAATATCATGTATTCTTTCTAAACCAATTTTTCTTTTATAGTCAACTAAATCTGGGTGACAAATCAAAGAAAAATGTAGCTGTCTCTGTTAGTTAAGGTTTTTAGATGAAGATGACAGAAGCTACTCTGTATCAGTGGTGATGAAACTTGTTGGTCTTAGGATACTTTAGTACTCTTAGAAACTTCTGAGGTCCCTAAATTGTTGAGGACCCCAAAGAACTTTTGTTTATGTGTGTCATATCTATCC